TTGGATTGTTTTTTTGTTTTGTTTTGTTTTGTTTTCTCTGTTTCTTTTTGGAATTTCCTTGGTCTGTGAGTTGGACCTGGCTGACTTTCCTGATTCTCCATTGTTGTACATCCAATTTTGCCTACTGAAGATCCTCTGTTAGATTTGTTTGGAACATTACTCCTCCCAACACCTTCCTGATCTCCTCCCTTTCAGCTTATTAACTAGTAGTCATCACACTTAGAGATTAACGCATGCCAGGTACATTGTATGACCTCAATGAACTTTTTATTGAATGCCTTTTTTCTAACTGCTAAATTTCTTGTGCCTTTTGTCTACACTGACTTGATTTTCTAAAATAAAAATAGATAAATCTAAAAAAGAAAAAAAAAAGGACTGTCTTCACCATGCTGGATTGATGGGATGAGTTCCCTTAGTTTGTATCTGCTACGATGCCTTTCTCTGTGAGATTTAAAAGGTGAAACTGCTCACTTATTTCTTGGTTAGCAGTTATGTTCCTTCAATGCCAGAAATAGATCATTTCATGCTTCCCTAAATTCCCACGGTTTTTGTGGGAGCTGTCATAAAGTTCTGAATGGCTCCCCTTTTCAGTGAATTGGCATTTTCCACCAGTGCCATTTTTAAGATTTATTTATTGATTGATTATGTACACAGTGTTCCATCTGCTTGTATCCCTGCAGTCCAGAAGAGGGCACCAGATCTCATTACAGATGATTGTGAGCCACCATGTGGTGGCTGGGAGTTAAACTCAGGTCCTCTGGAAGAGCAGCAGCCACCTCCACCAGTGGCTTTTAAAACTGATTTTCACTTTCTAGTTTTTACATTTAGATGATGATGTGTCACTTACAGCTTCTCAATACTTTCTGTGCTTGAATGCCTCTTGCTTTTCCGTAGATTTGTGAAATTATATGCTATGTATTTCACTGAATGCCTTTTCTATCCCTTTACATTTTTCTTTTTGTGAATGCGTTGGGAGTTTACCTGTTTGATGTGCATGAGTGTTTTGCCTGCATGTGTGTATGTGCCTCATGTGGACTCCTGTTGGAGTTGGATGGTGGGTAGACTCAGAGTGGGGGGGGGGGGGTGCTGGGAATCAAACCTGGGTCCTCTACAAGAAAAGCATGTCGTCTTTAATTATCGAGCCATCTCTCCACCCTCCCTTAGGTTTTATTTCATGTCTTCTTCCTGTTCTTTGGATTCATAAGTTTGGACTTTTCTTGAAGGTTGTAATACTTGTTTTTGCTTTAGGTGTTTTTTGTCCAGTTAGGTTTTTCTTTTTTGAGACAGGGTCTCACTATGCATTGTTGGCTGGCCTGGAATTCACTGGCCAATTTAACTCACAGAGACCTACTGGCCTCTGGCTCCCAAGTGCTGGGATTAATTACTTGTACAACCACACATGGACCCTGCCCTATTTAATTTTTTTTTTTTTTAGACTGGTTGCTCTGGATTAGGTTGGCCTCCAGCTTTGTACCTGGGGATCATTTTGAAATTCTAATGCACGTGTCTCCACCTCCTGCATGTGTGGTCCACCACCTCTGGATTGTGCACTGCTGTCAATCAAATCCAAGACCACGTGCATGCTATATAAACCCTCTACCAGTTGAGCCACAGCCTTAGTTACTCTCAAGTTTTGACCTCACCTTTATGTCAGCCTATATAAATGATGGCTCAGCAACAAGGAACACATTTTCTCTTCCAGAAGACAAGTTGGAATCTCAGCACTCATTAGGAGTCTTACAGCTGCTTATACTTGGATGTCTGTGGGTCTGTCCATGAACATACCATGAACATGACTGATTCACCTGCCATCTATTTCATGTGGGGTTTAACCATATAATTGAAATATTCAAGTGTAATGTCTTGTGCATATACTTTGGTGATGATGTCAAATAAAGTCCTCTTTAAATCTTGGTCTCTGCACTGGGCATGTTGGCACTCAGGCAATCTCAGTTCTCAGGAGACTCAGGGGAGGAAGTTTGAGACATCCACAAGAGCTTGAGAACATCCTGGGATCAACACTAAGAGGCTGTCACAAAATAAAAAAGGAAAAACCAACCCCACAGACTTTGATATTTTTCTCAGAATTATCAACTTTCAACACAAAACAGAAAACAAAACAAGTTTTTTGGTTTTAGGGGTGTGTGTGTGTGTGTGTGTGTGTGTGTGTGTGTGTGTGTGTGTGTGACAGAGAGAGAGAGGAAGAGAGAGAGAGGTTCATACTATGTAGCATTGGAATTCACTATGTAGACCTGACTGGCCTTGAACCCACAGATCCAAAAAGGAAAAAAAAAAAGCAAACAATAAACAAAATAACCACAGGACTATGGGTGCCACATATGGCTGTATGAAATGAGAACATGACCTCTCCAGGGTACTGTTGAGGGGAAAGGTTTTATTGTAGATATGAGGGAAAGTACAGTCAGAGGCATCTGGAAGAGTCTAGAGCAGGAAGCGAAGGTAGTAGACTAAATCTGCCCAGTATTCTAGACTGGGCCATGAGAGGACAGAGTGGGAGATCAAGAGAAGAAGAGAACAGAGAGAGGACCAAGAGAGAGGTGGCCAAGAGTGTCAAGAATGTAGATATCAAGTGGCTGGAATTGCAGTCATATAGGCAGACCTTGGGCTAGAGAAGTTGGGTAGAGCACAGACTGAAACTGAGCTGAGCTGAGCCAGGATGCCAGCAGGGACTTGGAAACAGGTATTTACAATGCTGAGGGAGCCTGGAAGCCAGCAAATGCTTTCATATGCTAATAGGCACCACAGGTAGCAGTTTGGTCCCTAGCTTCTCTTGGACCTGACAGTGGCACATATACCAGCACTCAGGACACAGAAGATGGTAGATCTCTGTGAGTTCTAGCAGAGCCTGATCTATAGAGTTCCAAGCTAGCCAAGCCTACAGGGTAAGTCTATATATAAACAAACAAAAGAAAAGGAAACATGGGTGGTGAGGCCACAGAAATAAATGACTCATTGGCTAACAGCACTTACTGTTCTTGCAGAGAAACTTGGTTCCATTCCCAGCATCCAGTTACAGTGACTCTGGCCTGGTAACTTCTTAAAAAACATAAAACATAGAGCTGGAGAGAGGGCTCAATATGGAAGACAACCTATTGCTCTTGCAGAGGATCTGGATTCCATTCCCAGCAAACACTGTTGTTCATAACCATCTATAACTGCTGTTGCAGGGATCCAATGTCTTTCAGAGGCCTCAGGGGTACCAGTTATGCACTTAGTATGCATACATATGTATATGTGTAGCCAAAACACTCACACATGAAAAGACAGCAAATGCTTAAAACTCCTTCATGAGAGCATTAAGGGCTACACAGAGCTGGTCCCCAATGAAACAAAAACTATACAGCAAACAATCATTTATTCCAGGAACTGCAACATTCGGTGAGAAAAAATAAAAATAAACAGTAAACCCATGTCTCATTAAACTGAGGGCATTCTGATTCTCCCTCATTCAAACACTACCATGGAAACTCCACTCCACACTAGTGCCGCCAAGAACATAGGGCTCCCTCTTGCTAAGTTCCCCAGGGAGTATTAGCTTTTGCCATATAGGAAGATGACAATAATTCTCATCTTGTCCCAATGTTCTTATTTGTTGAGTAACTTTCATTGAATGGCACCCTCACAAAGGCCACTTGTAAGGAGTACGGTTTTTCTGCCCGCCGCCTGGTCTTGTCCTGCCGCCACGCCGCCAGCCCCAAATAATGTACAGAGACTCTGTATTTGATACAATGCTGTTGGCCTGGTTACTTGTTTCTTATCTGCTAGCTCTGTCTTAATTATTAACCCATTTCTGCTGATCTATGTATTTTCACATGGCCTTCTCTTACCAGGGAGGCGGCTGGCGTCCAGCTCTCTCCAGACTCTCCATCTTGACTCCTCCTTCCTACTTCCTATTTCCTCCTTGTCTCCTAGTCCTGCCTATCTTGCTTTCCTATTGGCCAACAGTGCTTTATTTATTAACCAGTATGAGAAACATTTACAGAATGGCATCTCCCATCATCCACTCTAAAAACTTCTCTTCAAAATCTGGTTCACTCCTAGGGCTGAACAAGGTTGGCCAATGGTTGAAGATTTTTGTCTGCATTCTCAGACCCATCTTGGTTTTGTGTTACGAGTGGTTTCCCGACAGCTTGGTCCCACAGCCATATCAGCCCCAAATAACACACAGAGATGCTGTATTAGATATAAAGCTGTTGACCTGTTACTAGCATTTCTTATTGGCTAGCTCTGTCTTAATTATAATCTAAGTATTTCCACGTGGTCTTGGCTTACTGGAGAGAGAGGGCCCAGACCTTTGCTCTTTCCAATCTCTATATGTTGAATCTCCTCCTACCTCTCTCTGAATCCTCCTTGTCTCCTAGTCCCGCCTATCTTGCTTTCCTATTGGCCAACAGGGCTTTATTCATTAACCAATAAGAGAAACATATTTACAGAACGACACCTCCCATCACCTTTGTGTATATTACTAATAAAAGCAGACATTTGCTCAAAGGCTTTCCCAGAGTCTGTGGGTTCATGATGCATCCCAGCAGTGTAGCCTCTCCAGTTAAATAGGATGGAGGTGTGGGTGAAGGCTCCTCACATTTGAAACATTTTTTACTTGTGTCCAGTACTCTTGCGTGCATACAGTAGATGATGGAAATGATTCCCCCGCCCCTTCACAGCACACAATGCATATATTCTATCCAGTGTGAAACTTGTGGTGTCTAGAAAGTCCAGTCCTATAGCAAAACACTTTCCCACAATACTTACACTCATGATGTTTTGCTGCTCTGGTGTCTAATGAGGCTTTACCTTGCAGTGATGGTTGTCCCACACATATTACACTTAGGTGTTTCCTTTATTGTGAACTTACTGGTCTCTGATGAGAGGAGAAGTTTTATTTTTTTTTTTTTAACACTTCTCAGATTCAAGTCATTCAGAAGGTCTTTGCCCCAGTGTGTACTCAGACATAATAAACAAGGGTGAATTGTTTTCTTTTTCTTAAATGATTTTCCGCATTTGCTGCACGCTAAGGCTTTTCTCCAGTATGAACTCGATAATGATATAAAAGGCTTGATCTGTTCATGTAAGATTTCCCGCATTCACTGCACGTAAAAGGTGTTTCTCCTGTGTGCACTCGCTGGTGAGCAACCAGGAAGCAGTTATGCTTGAAGGCTTTGCCACATTCACTGCATCTATAAGGCTTTTCCCCGGTGTGAACTCTGAAATGCTTAAGGAGAAAGGCTTTTTGGCTGAAGGATTTACCACACTCGCTGCACTGGAAAGGCCTTTCCCGCGTGTGAACTCGGGCATGATAAACAAGGCTGGATTTTTCCTTAAAGGCTTTCCCGCATTCCCCACAAGTGTAAGGCTTTTCTCCACTATGAATCTGATAATGACGTGTTAGGTTGGATCTGGTCATGTACGATTTCCCACATTCACTGCACGTAAAAGGCGTTTCTCCTGTGTGAACTCGCTGATGAGAAACGAGGGAGATATTATGCTTGAAGGCTTTGCCACATTCACTGCACCTGAAAGGCTTTTCCCCGGTGTGAATTCTGAAATGCTTAATGAGAAAGGCTTTTTGGCTGAAGGACATGCCACATTCACTGCACTGGAAAGGCTTTTCTCCAGTGTGTATCATCCGGTGCCGATTAAGGTGGGATGTACTAGTAAAGACTTTGCCACAGTCACTGCAAATGCAGCTCCTCTTCTCAGTGGGAATGGCCTCTCCACTCTCAGCGCTCCCGACAGTGTAAGTCACCTGGTGCCCGGGAAGACCTGAGGAAGTCTGGAGGATCATTGCATTGTCTGCACTTAGCAAGGGTGTCTCAGCATGGCTCAGCATGGGCTGTTGGAGCATGGATGAATTAAGCTCTCCTTCCTTGGGAAGACTCTGCTCAAAGGGGGGATGCTTCACTCTCCACTTTGATCCAACAACCTGAACAGTGAGAAATACTGATGAACGGCGTGGAGACTGTTGAGCGACAGACAGGCAGCACATATTACTAACAGTGTTCTGAGATTTCTCACAGAACAAAGGGGCTAGTTCAGGGCTGTGAGGACCCAGTGCCATGCTCCATTTGTCCGTATCATAGGGCCTAGGGATGCTAGGGACAGCAAGAACACAAGCATGGAGTGAATCACAGAGAGACATGCTGAGAATTATGGCACTGCCCGCAGCAATAGCTTTCTACAAGCATCGGCTGCTGAGGATGCAGGACACAGTGTAGCAGGCTGTCTAGGGCCCTAAGACACGGTGACTGAAGAGCTTGCATTCAAGGACTGCCCGAGGTATAATGCACACTAGCACAATCAAGGAAAGCCTGAGTTCCACAGCTTTGCAAGGCAACAGGCAAAACAAAAGAGACTGGACCATGAGGACCAGGCCTGGTTCAGAAGTAATAGCTAAGCACATCAGAAACCACCACCTTCCAAGTACCTATAACATACCTGGAGTCAGGAATCTCAATGCAGGCACAGAGGGCCCTCCCCAAGGCTCTAGCTGAGTGATGCCATGGATCCCAGAAGGTATAAGTCCTAAAGTAAAATGATACAACAAGTAAGTGTGCTGTACTAGAACTGAGTGACGTCATCAATACATTTGATAGGAAAGAAGCCTATTGAGAATAATCCTGGTAAGACTGTCTTACAAAAAAAAAAAAAGCGAAGTGATGGTGATGCACGGCTTTGATCCCAGCACCGAGTACTGGGGAGGCAAAGGCAGGCAAATCTCTGAATTCATGGCCAGCCTGGCCTACAGAGCAAGTTCCAGGACAGGCTCCAAAGTTACAAAGAACCCCTATCTCAACCACCCCCCTAACAACAACAACAACAACACCCAATAATGAGCTCAGCAGTGCCACAATACCTGCCACATGCAGACACGGGCATGTTACCTAGAAGTGCCCATGTCACAAGGATGCCAAGTATTTACAGTGTCATCGGATCGCAGAAGAACCATCAAGTGCTAAGACTCCTGACCCCAGACAGAGCATGGTTGTGCAAGCCACTAAGCACAGCACTCATGAGCCAGGGCAAGATCGTGGTGAGTTAGAAAAGACCCAAGTCTCCACAGTGAGTCAGTCCAGCACAACCAGAACTCTACAGATAGATGGTGACTCAAACTACCCCACCCACAAAATATCCTAATCCCAAATTGATTCCTGGGTGCTTTGCTGCAACTGTGAGAGACAAAGTGTTGTGAAACAAGCATCTTTTTTTAACCTGGTAGAAACACAGGCCAGTTTTGAAAAGGATAAGGCCCTCTAGAAAAAAGGCAAGCCTACATAGACATGCTCTCACTGGTTCGGGGGGTGGGGGGAAGGAGATGGGGGAATGTGGGGGTGGGGGAAAGCACCTTACCCAGCGAGGACATGAGTGTAAAGATCTCCATCATCACAGTCTGGTACAGGAGCCTTTGGGAATCATCTAGCAGCTTCCATTCCTCCCAGGAGAAGTACACAGCCACGTCCTCAAAGGACACACAGCCCTACCACAATGGGAAAGCTGAGTTCATATGCAGCCCCTTCTCAGGGACTCCTGCCATCCTCAAGACAGCCACCCCCACTTAGCTTCCTACATCAGAGGGTCCCAGGCTCTGAAGCTATGACGTCCAGTCTGTCCTCAAGGTCCCACCAACCACTCTGCTCGGCACTAAGCAAGAACAGGCAGGTGGACTGATCACTTTTCTAGTGAAGACACACCATGACCAAGGCAATGTAGAGAACAGAGGATTTATTGGGGGCTTACACCTCAGAGAGTGAGCCCATGGCCCTCAGAGCGCAGGCAGCCATGATACTGCAGCAGTAGCTGACAGCTTCCATCCTTACCCACGGGTACCAGGGACACAGAGTTAACTGGGAATGGCATGGGCTTTTGAAACCTGCAAGCCCATCCCCAGTGACACACCTCCTCCAGCAAGGCCACACCTCATAATCCTCCCCAAACTGTGCCACCAATGGGGACCAAGTATTCAAGCCTATAGACCTATGGGAGGGAGGGAAAGGGATGTTCATTGAAACCACCACAGCTGGAGTCAATCCAAGCTTGAAGGATGCAATGAACAGTCCCTCCTCCCTAGCAGAGAATTCCCATGGGCTCCTCCCAATCATCTGCCTCACACAGACCATTCTGGGTCACCGTTGTCCACTGTGTCCCGGGCAGGAAGGCCAGGAAGCCATCTAGACATACTCTCACAGCACACACAGCAGTCTCCACACTGAATTTCCATTTCCACCTCAGCGGCAAGCCCAGCCCTCAGCTACTGGGCAACCCCCAGCTCCTGCCTTCCACCTAAGCCAGCAGACCCCATGCACACCTGAGGAGGTCTCAGCGTTCCCGACCCATCTCCCTTCCAGGCTTCCTCTAATGCTCATCCCTGGAACTTGAAGACCTCTGAAACTTAAGTCAATGGCTGTCACGAATGGAAACCTGGCCATGCATTCTGACCTTACATTCTGACGCCTGCCAGGACAATCCAGCAGAAGCATAGAGAGAATGCCAGGCAAAGAGACCCAAGACACCACACTCACAGAGGTCTCTCATGTGAAATCTGAGGAGTGTGGCTCCTGGGCACCCTCCACTCACCTCTTCCTGGTTGGGAGGCTTCATTGAGTAATGGGAAACCTGTAGAAAAACAAGACTGTGAGTAACAAATGAGGGTGTTGGCATCCCACAGGTTCATCCAAGTCCCCTCTCATACGTGCAGTCAGGCTGGCCCAACTGCCGCCTGGGCTCCATCCTTTAATGGTGTCTCTTCCTTGGTGACCTTGGACAAGAAATCAATCTCCTCAATTTGTTCTTTGAGGCTAAGAATGGCAGCCTCAGGCTTGAGAGATGTCTCAGAGGTTAAGGACATTGGGTGTTCTTGCAGAAGACGCAGGTTTAATTCCCAGTACCCACAGGGCAGCTCACAACTGTCTTTAACTCCAAGATCTGGCACCCTCACACAGACATGCAGGCAAAACACCAGTGAACATAATGTAAAAATAAATTATTAAAAAAGAAAAATATCTACTGTTATATTGCTGTGAAGAGACACCATAACCCAGACAACTCTTATAAAATCAATCATTTAACTGGGACTTGCTTACAGTTTCAGAGTTTAGTCCATGACCATCATGGTGGGAAGCAGACAGGCATGGCCCTGGGGCAGTACCAGAGAACTTTACATCCTGACCCAAAGGCGGCAGGCAGAGACTAAGACACACTCATCCTGATGTGGGGTTCTGAAACCTGAAAGTCCAGTCCCAGCCACACACTTCCTCCCATGCACCCCCTAATCCCTCTAATCTTTCTCAAACAATCCCATTCCCTAGTGACTAAGCATTCAAATATTTGAGCCTATGGGAGCCATTCTCATCCAAACCAACACAAAGTCCTACTCCAAAAAGAGAATCATAGTAGCAAACCCAGACCTATGTGCCAAGTATGTGGTACAGGTTCTTCCTGGACACATTACTAATGCTTCTGTGAAGAGTCTCTCTCTCTCTCTCTCTCTCTCTCTCTCTCTCTCTCTCTCTCTCTCTCTCTCACACACACACACACACACACACACACACACACACAAGTTTTCATTGTTTAAAATTTTATCTACATGTATTTAATTAAGACTTTGGTATTGGCCAAGCATGATGGTGCAGATCTTTTTGCAACACTTGGAAAGCAGAAACCTCCAGACCCTTGTATGTGTGCAGCCAGCATAAGTCACATGGCGAGTCTCAGTTCAGGGGAAAGGGATAGCTAACACAGTAGACTTTACTCCAAAGTGAATGTCTTCACATAACTGCAATTTCAGTCATATTTTTTACCCTTGCCTTTCACAAACATTCCCCAATGGGCACAGTTTATTTTCCTTTATTTAATTTTGCTTCAAACCTACACTTGGTGGTGGTGGCGGCAGCAGCAGCGCACACCTTTGATCCCAGCACTCAACAGAGGCAAGAGGATCTCCGTGAGTTCAAGGCCAGCCTGGTCTACAAAGTGATCTCCAGGACAGCCAGAGCTATTAAATGGAGAAACCCTGCCCCAAAACGAAACAAAAAAGATACATTGAATGGCTCAGATGTTTAGAGTACGTCCTCCATTCTACAGACAACCAGAGCTCAGTTGGCAGCCCTACCCCAAATAAGAATACAGAAGAAGGCAGATCTCTGTGAAGTCAAGGCAAGCCTGGTCTAAACGGTGATTTCCGGCCAAGACAAAAAATAAAAATAAAATAAAACAAAAATTAAAAGGGAAAGAAGGGAAGTGGGAAGGAAGTACATCTTTAAAAACTATGAAGGAGTCACTTCGTGGGAGGCCACTCCTTCACTCGGGAGCTAAAGGTAGAAGGATCTCTGAGTTTGAGGACAAGCTGGTACATAGAGAGAGAGAATTCCTGAGCACAGATGATGGATTGGATAGATGACTGACAAAGACAGACACACAGACAGACACAGAGGGATGATAGATGATAGAAAATAAAAGAAATCTATCCAAGATCGGAAGACTCTCGCCACCTCTATGGCCCACACTCGGATTTACCCATGGGTTCAAACAGGTCTCTCTCTCCATCCACATTACCCGACCTCAGCCGGGTATTCCCCGAGGAAGCTTGGAAAACTGAACAGATCGAATCTCTCCTGTGTTCAAATCTTCCGTGGCGTCTCCACAAACAAGTCAGCTCTTAAGTGCACTGAGCCCTCCCCTATCTAATGCCAGCAGGGGTCACTCCAGGGCTATTGCTGTCAGGAGCTCAGGCCCGCCCACAAGCCTTGGGAAGCACAGTCTACCAGCCGCTGTGAGTCAGAGGGGATCGTGTTCTAGCACACAGATGTCAGAAGTAAGAAGCATGTCCACCAGTGTCCTACAGTCGGGGCCACCAGGCCTGATCTGTTGGCTCCTGACCCAGATCTCAAAGCTCTAGAACTCAGGTAGACGGGCGATCACCAAGCACTCACCTGGGGCAGAGCTCCACCCGCAGCCTCCACGATCACCATCGGGCTCCACTGGCCGGCGGGGCCCAGGGACATGGCCATTCCTTACTCCAAGCCTCGATCAGGTCACACGGGTCGTCTCAAACCTCAGATCCGTCTCCGTGACAGAAGACAAACGCTTCTAACTCTCCCGTTTTCCTGCCATGACCAATGCAGATGAAACCAATGTTCTGTGAACCAGACTGACAGATCCAGAAAGTTTCAAAGAAATCTCCTGCACGCAAAGCCAAAAGTCCCGCCCAGCGTCGTTTTGTCGTCACCGAAACGCTCATTTGCATTGGCTGAGCTCGGAGTAATGTCTTCTGGACAATGTAGTTCAGATAGGATCAAGCGCCAGGAAGTGGATACACCTGCCCAGACGGAGCAGGATACTCAGTCCCTGAGCACACGGTTGTAATTACTGATGTGCCATTTATTTCCTTGCTGTCCCACTTAAATTCCAGATTTGCAGGCAGAGGCAGATGGATCTCTGGGATTAGAAGCCAGTCTGTCGCAGTGAGTTCCAGACCAGGCTGTTGTTTTGTTGCATGTTTGTGGTTGCCTGAGGAGGGAGGGAGGGAGGGAATGACTGCTCTTGGATATGATAGAGTAGATAAAAGGGAGAGAATAACCAGAAGCAGAGACATCTAGGAGTCCAGAGTGAACAGGACCCTCACCCGTGTGAGGAGAGGGGAGAGGAGCCGTTAGCCAAGAGGGGCAGCCTGGGCCAAGATGGCTGAGTTATGTAGGGGCCAGAGGAGCTGGGAAGAGTGAAGTCCAGTCCAATTATTGGGCTGGGGAGTTCAGGGTAGAGCCAGCCAGGAGGGCCCTGTAATAGGTGGAGGCTGAGGGATGCTGGGAGAACCTGGCGGCCAGTGTCCGTTTTGTCAATGGACACTTCAACTAGCCATGTCCCAGGTTTGAGACCTGACAGATTTTAACCCTTTGCCTCTTTATGAATGGTACTTTGCCAGACCCTTTTGTAATTAAAAGGAAGGGATTAGCGTGGAGGAACAGGAAAGAACATATTTGGAATATGTCACCACTAGTCTCTAGAATTCAGATGTCACATCAGATACCACGTCGTCAAGAATAACTTTTCTATTGTGCATCCCCGCGCTAAGGGAAATTCAGGGATGGAACAAGGGCTTCAGTCCAGGAAACCACCTTACTGTGACTCTGAGGGTGCACTTCAGAGGGACTCCGGCAGCAGCTCATGGGAAATGGGAACAGTTTCATGTTTGCAACCACCACCAGGTCTTCAAGGAGTCCGATTAACCCCTTACACACCCCTTCTCCACCTTCCATCTCTGTAACTGTCCTGGTCTCCGTGGTGCAGCTGTCTGAACTACATAACCCAGAAGAGCCAGAGCAGAAAGGCCGGAAGATTGGCCGGAGGTTTTCCTGCTTGCCTTTAATCCCAGTGGATCTCTGAGATTGAGGCTAGCCTGGTCTACGGAGTGAGTTCAAGTACAGTCAAGGCTGCATAAAGAAACCCTGATGGGGGGGGGGATGGGAGGTGCTTTGAGAGATGAAAGGCCTTGTCCCTGACACCTAGATGAGTCAGGAATCTGCACCACCATGGAGTGACTAGTTCTAAACCTTGGGCAGGAATGTCCCTGTCCATGTGCCTCTTTAGGTAGTCCTGTCTGGGGGCTCTGGATGAGGCGACACATGATCCCTGGCCAACCTGATGTTACATGCTCCCTGGGGTCTGGGTCGTGAGCCTGTGCACAGGGCCGATGTCCCCTGATAGTGATCGAGTCTTACATGGTTCCGGTTTTTGTTTATTAGCTTTACTGTTTTAAAAATTGTATTTGCACAGGAGCAAATTGGGAGCGTGGGGGGAGAGGGGAAGGAGGTAGGAAAGAGAGAAGGGGAGAAGAGAGGGGGAGGAGAATAAGAGGGATCAGGAAGACTGAGTCAGGGGAGGAGTAGAGGAGAGCAAGAAAAGAGATACCTTAATAGAGGGAGCCAGTATAGGTTTAAAGAGAAATCTGGTGATGTCTGTGAGTTCAAGGCTTTCTGTGTCAATTTCTGTGTTTAATTTTTGTTTGGTTTGTGTGTGTGTGTGTGTGTGTGTGTGTCTGTTAAGTTTGGGGTGCTGGTATTAAAGAGGTCAGCCACCACACCCAGCTTAGTCATTTTTTCCCCCTCTGCCTCTGGAAATGCAGGGATTAAAGGTGTGCACCACCACACCCCAAACCCAGCTGCGCTTGCTGCTCTTGCTGAAGACTCAGGTTCAGTTGCCAATTCCACTTGGAGTTCACGCCATTCGTCACTCCAGTTCTATGACATCTGATGCCCTTTGCTAGTCTCCACAGGCCTCCAGGCACATGCCGTATATACATACATGTATGCAGACACTCATACATGTGAGATAAAAAATACATTTTAAAATGTGATTTGTTTTTTCCATTTCAGATGGCTTGATTGAAATGAGGGGAGAAAAGGACCTGGAGAGAGAGGCTTCTCCACTGTGAAGGGGTCAGGCAAAAGCACCCTGGCCTGAGTACTGCCATTTTGACTCCAGATTCTATTTTATCCGTAGGGTAAAACAAAGTTCATGTTCCCGATCCCTAGGGCAGCTGAGGAGTTTCCAATGACTGACCAGCCTCCTCCCTAAAACATAGAAATAGTCGTTCTTTAGTTCTTTAGAAACATCATGGCCAGTCCTAACCACGCAGGAACAAATGATTGGTCGGCCTGAAAGGCTTGACAGTGAGGGAGGGAACACTCAAGGAAACGCCTAGTCTCTAAATCCTGGAGGTGAAGATTGTAACTGGAACTCAGCAACAGCTGGTTGTGATTTTGTGCACGTAAACCCCGCTTCTGCCCCGCTTGGGGCCGTGAGGAGAAACAGCTCCTGAGTCCTTGTCCTGCAGCCCTGACTAGTGATGCGCTGATGTGGTGGACACATTTGGAACCCATAGTGCTGTCTCTCTCCTTCCTCATGGTGCATAGCAGGCTAGGTGTAACAAGTGTTGGAACCTCCTTCTGACTGGCAGCTGCAGGACTGAACCATCCCTAGAGTGTGAGGATCCTGGGTAGTATTTGAGACATGGCTATTGGTGGGAGGGATTCAGCTCAGCAGGCCTTCATGGCCAGCCATTCTCTGTGAAGAAAGGAAGGTCAGCCGTGCAGTTGCTACCTATCTGTAACCTATCTGTGCCTCACCTCCTCAGCCTTATGCAGAGGGATGATCCCCTGTCCCCTTGGAAGGATCCTCAGCAGAATTCCCTCCTTGGGGTGCGCACCAGGCAGTGAGCTGGCACCCCGAGCATGGTTTCTCAGGTTCTGCCTGTGTGTGTTTATTCACTCAGAACTATCTGATGAGTACCTGTTGAAGCAGTATTTGGTTAAGATTCACACATAAGTGGACAATTAAAACATCATGGAAATAACATTATTATGAGCACTTAACAATTACTTGAAAATACTTAGCACCTGAATAAAGATTGATTGATTGATTGATGATTGACTGATTGATTGATTGATTGATTGATTGATACAAAGTGTCTGATTAGGAAGCCCTCCCTGGCTTGGCAGGACTATGTCAACCAAGTCGGCCTTGAACTTACAGACAACTGCCTGATTCTGTCTCCAAGGGTGCAGAGATTGAAAGCTGTATGCCACCACACCCAACCTTGGAAATGTGGTTGTTGGATATCACATTCTAAATTAAATGCTTGCAAAATAAAACCATACATTTTCAAAACCTGCCTGATTATTTGCATTGAAATTCTCGCTAGAAATTAAACGACATGTAGTGGGAAGAGAGAGAGAGGGAGGGAGGGAGAGAGAGAGGGAGGGAGAGGGAGAGAGAGAGAGAGGGAGAGAGAGAGGGAGGGAGAGAGAGAGTGTGTGTGTGATGTGTGAGCTTACCGTTAGGTCTCTAACTTGGGACAAAGAGCTGACTGAGGCGCTCATTAACATATCAAAGCAGTTGCTGTCCTCCAGGTTCTCCCAACATTCCATCAGTCTCTACATCTTATCTCTTATTGAGGCTCCTGCTGGCATGCCCCATCCCCTACCCTGAACTCCCCGGCCCAGGTTTTGGACTGTGCTTCACTCCTATAAATTCCTCTGGCCCTTAAATAACTCAGCCAATCTGGCTATACCATGATCTTGGCCCAAGACACTCCTTTTGGAGGGCAGCTCCTCTTTCTCTGTCCCTTCTCTGCACCTGGCCCAGCTCAGGGTCCTGTTGACTCTTGTCTCTGCCTCTGGCTATGTCTTCCCTCATAATCTACAATTAAACTCCAACATACCTTGGAGCCATCATAGGACTGAGTTTGACACAGTGTCGTTTTTATCTCTGTGTTCCAGAGGATAACATGTGTTCAAGAGCACACAGTATAAGGCCTCGCTGAGAACTGAGGCCAATGTGGCAGTTAGTTACACCACCAGCCGTGGAGTACAAGGGAGGGCATGGATGGCCTTTGGTCATGCCGGCATCATTGTTATCCACAGCCTTGTCTTGCCACAGATTCCTTTTAGTGCAAAGATACCTACCAACCATGATGATGTATGTGGAGGATGCTTCAGGAATGCATCTCCTCAGTTCCCACTTCAGTTATCCTTGGTACTGCAGCATTCTTGAACTCTCTGTGATTTTGTCTGTCCTTCCATCTGATTTCCGTGGAAGGCAATCACAGAAAGAAAAGCCAGCAGCAGGGATTATGTGGAGAGGTTCCCCTTTTTGGAAACTCCTGTCTTGAGAGTCAGAGGTATTAGAGTTCCCATGGTCTACTTTTTTAAAAATGCCTGGATAATGGAGACTGGGGATTTGGTTCATTGGTTAAGAGCACTGGCTGTTCTTCTTAAGGTCCTGAGTTCAATTCCCAGCACCCACATGTCAGTTGCAACCATCTGTAATGGAGACTGATGCCCTCTTCTAGCATGCAGACATACATGAAGATAGAGTACTCATATATAAAATACATACATAAACTTTTTTTAAAAGTTAAATGCCTGAATGTGACAAACTGGGAATGCTCAAACCATGTTAAGTGTCCATTGTATTGGAAAAACTATTAAGCATAGCTTAAGACTTGAACAGTAGCCTGAGCGGGACCTTGTGTACCAAGGTGAAAGAAAGTCCAGATGCGGTACAAGAGAGATGTGCATGCTGAGAGGCAGCATCTGTACATGGCCTCTGGGGTGATGGAGAATGGTAGCTGAAACCCGCTGTATTTGCAAGAAATTATGTGGAGGGACTCGTGTTTGAGAGGAGAGACTCTGTCAAACACCAGGCTTTGATGGAGTCCATCTGTCTACTTCCCTCTTGCTGAACACAGTGGTCAGTGGGACCATAAGCATAAACTCTATCCCCAGGGCCCCCTATCCTCAGAGGTGAGAACAACGTAAGCTTTGGTGCCTGTTTAGCAACCA